TTCCCTGATATTTGCCCCTTGTCATTTCTGGACTTCTTTTATCTGAGACAGTACAGCCATCTTCATGGTTTTTTGGTTGTCATTATGACTGTCAACTCCATGTAGAGATGCAGCTGTGCATAAACCAGCTCTGGAAGCAGAAGCATGCAAGAGCATCCTGGGGCTGAGTGACTTTGCATCAGGTGTTACTAAACTGCTGAGAAGGACCAGGCTGTCCCTGCATTCTGTGCTGCTACAGGGACATAAGAACTCGGTTGTGTGGAAATGGGGTGTTGCTAACACCATGGCATATGGTGTAGACACCCTCTCAAATCATTAATGGTGGTTCTGTTTGAAGAACATTTTGGAATCTGACCTTTGTCTTGTAAAAATTATTCAGTCTCAAAACAATTTCTGCTTCAAGATTAATCCATTTCTGGTCCTTTTATTAAAAGGAGTATAAACAGCTGGAAGGAAACCATGTATGTTACTGAAGCACTACATTAATCACTATAAGCAAACTAGTACAATGCTCTTTTGATATTCTAATGTAAAACCAAATGCATGCTACATCCAGAAACTAAAAACTGCAGTAATTGAGCCAAATTATTTCAAAGTAGAATACTCACCATCCATCAAATGTGATAATGTGTGGATCAGTGAAAGAGTAGCAGTTCCCTGTTGGGAGGTCTCGAACTGTGACCTAGTTAAAATGAAATGTGTAATGAATACAGTCTACGCAGCAGTTTTTCTTCATTACTGTTCCTCACAAAACATTAGGGGCAGGATCCATGTGTCAAGTACAAACTAAAACCTGACTTCTAAAACATGGTTACGAATGGGTACAAAATAGGCCTCGCTTTCAAACAACGGAGTTTAATCACATGCAATAAGGGAGTTCAAAGTGCTCCTATTCCACCTGATGTAATGCACTGTCTTTCTTTATCTGGTAAAAAGTGAAGTTTTTTTATTAAACTTTTTTGCTAAGAAGTAGATCATTCACTGAAATTATCAAGAGAGTAGAGTGCTCATTAAATTGCACTAATTTTAATTCCTGAAGTACGGTATCAGGTATGCTGTAATTAAGTAATATTAGCATATTTTAGTAGTAGTCGCTGCCTGCCCCCTAATTTGTTTTAGATTTCCTGATACAGCATCTCGATAGCTGTTTTATGTATTTGATATGCAGGTTATTGATCCAGTACTGATGACGAGGCCCCAAATCAGGCTGCTGGAGCTCTCTGTTTTCAGCATGTGAATAAAAGAGGAAAGGATCTACTACAGCAACAGAGATCTTCAGCTGAATCAGCTCTTGGTTACTTGGGCACAAGCTGGGTCACAGGTGAGATCTGAGAGTCCTGGTACCCTGCAAGGAGCATATGTGCCTGAAGAAGCCAGAGGTAGGGCAACTCCCTTCGAAGCTGCAATACCTGAATCTCAGTTTGAATGCAATACCCCTCAACGGTGGGCCTGCATTGCCATGTCTGCTCAAGGTGGTGGGTTCTTTTCATGGCTGAATGCTCTGCTACACAGCTCACAGAAATGCAAGGCTGTGTTGTATAGTGATTTGCAATATGAGGAACTCCCAGTCATACTGGTGGGAGTGATGAAGTGTTATGGTTCACCCACATCCAGCCTGCCAGGCTGATTTCTTGGCCAGGGCTGTAATTCTTTACTTGCTTTTTGCCCATGAGAAGTCCAGAGCTGCAATTCAATTAGTTCTAGCGCAATCTGTGGAGCAGGGTTGAAGAATGGCCTCTATATCCTTGTGCAGTCCTTCAGTGACAAAGCAGAACTTAGCTTTTAGGAACAGTGGTGAAATTAAATAAATGAGTAAGAGGGTGAAGACAGAACCACACTTCCTGACAAGAGTCCTCACCTGCGGCAATTCATCATCTGTATTTTAACATGCCCCTTAACCATTGCACAGAGACACTGCTTAGATGCCCACTGGTGTCTGGCATACCAAACTATTAGAGTGATGGTTTTGGGGCTTGAAAAACAGAATACCACTCTGAACAGCATTTTGAGGTGAGGTCAATTGTATCATTTGTATATACAGTGTGATATAAAGAAGCATCTCAGGATTTTCCCATTTTCTCCATGGCCACAACCTTCCTAAGTAAAATCTTTGCGCAAACAAATCCACGTGGGTCTGTCTGCTCTGCTCTTTTCTTGCATGATACCAGCAGAGGATGCAAGTCCTAGTTGTAGGCAGTCTTAATTTGCTGAAGAAATACACTTTATCAGGTGTCTGAATGTGTCAGGATGTTCTGCCCAACATTTCCATTCAATTTTCAGATAAATCAAAAATATTTGAACAAGTCTGAAGGACTAAAGATTATATGGATTTTAATATATGGATTTTTCCTTGATATGTTGCAGGAACTATGTTACATTAACGCCTCTAATTAACTGCAAAGCAGCAACGGGGAAATGGCGGGGAGGGAAGGTAATGTCTATTATGTTTCCATAGATCAAGTTCTAACTGAGATAGATGGAATTTATTATTAAAATTGATTAATTCCATTTCACACTTACTATATTTTCATATTTTAATGAAAGCAGTTGTAACTTCAAGAAAAAATATGGGTATGTGAGTGCACTATACCGAATTAGCTGCAATTTCTGATTTAAGAGTCTTAAAAAGCTTAAGATGCCTGTGTTGGAGAGGAAGGGATATAGTCCCATGCTAGGCATTTTACCTTTGAAGACACAAATGCTTTTGGTCCTGTTTAATCTCATTCTCTCATGAGCAAATCCACAAAAATTGGGACAGTGAAATTACAGATTTCACTGGAGGTTTGTTTTCAGTTACGTAAAATATACCAACTTGGATGTGCCAGTGCTCTGAGAAATTTAGCTGAGTCAAATCTGTGCTCTGGTTTATTCTCTCAGGCAGTGGGGTTACGGCTCTCAAACCTCCCAGCCGAGGCCCTGATACAACTTCACAGAAAAGAGGCCCATCCCTCCTGGCCATGCTCCTTTGGCGAGGATTTTTGCAGGGAAAGCGGGACTTGCCTCCCTGATTGCTCCTATTGCTCCTTTTTTTTTTTTTTTTTTGGACATTTTGTGCAGGGATAAATGAAGAGATAGAGCAGCCCAATGTGTTTTTGGAGGTGCTCTGGTGATTCTGGCGCAGTCACAAATTGAATACTGCACTGCTATGTCCTGATCCTCCTTTCTCATTACTGAGGCACTGCCTGTTCTCTGCTTTTCCAGAAACTGTTCTCCAAACCCTCATTTTTCCCTCTCCCTCATTCTTGAAAAGGTGTTAATTCCCTAGCTTGGTTCTCCCTTTCTCCTCTTCCAGCATACACAAGCATGGCTGGTTTCATCTGTAACCCAGCTTTTGGCCTTACCAATGTGATGACTAATGATGAAACCTAAATCTGTTAAAGCACAAGGCTTCACATGTTCATTTTCTTGGTGTATAAAGAGTCTGTTTTGGTTTACTCTGTGGACAGAGGTCCCCAAATATTTATATGATTAAGGTTTATCAGCATCTCATTTTCTTCAATACTAAACCTCCTCTTTAAACTCAACACGTTTTCCAAATTATTTTAGGACCCGACCTTCACATCCTTGGGTGTGTAAGCCCTCCAAAGCAAATCCCTCCATCCGACTGGCTCAGCTCTGATGCGGCTGACGCGGTTCCCATCCTGAGCAAAGTCTGTCACGGCTGTCACTGTCAGCGCGGCTGCTGCACAGCTGCTTTCCGAGCAGGGCGCCCGTAGCAGATCCACCTGGCATGCCGAAAGGGCGATGTTTGGGGGCCCCAGTAATTGGCTATCTAAAACAAATATGAACACTGAGTCTGACAAGAGTTATCCAAACAGTTGCCTGTACCCTGTCTACCGTCCAACACAAATGTTTCACGTTCCAGGACACACATGCCTTGAAAGCAGATGGGGTTTGCATGAAGACAGTTGTGACTGACTCAATCTGGCACCTCTCTGCACATTTTACTGTGCTTTTTTTTTCCCCCTGCAGTAGACAGTTTACTAAAACTCAGTGGTGCTTTTCTTTCCACAGGTGCTAATATTTCTGGAATGACAGTCTTATCTTTATGGGTCCATGCCCAGGGAATGAAGACGAGTAGTTCTCACAACAAAAAAGAGATGAGTCTGTGTTTCTGGAAAACATTTATCTTTCACTAGCTTTATTATAAGCAGGTATCTGCTAGGAGTTACTTAATTTAAAATAAACAGAATTTTTGATCTGGAAAGGGACAGTTCTCAGGTCAGATTTTAGTGAACTTGATCCACGACAGAAAGGCACTCACAGCAGATTTGTGGTTTTTTGGTTTTGGCTCAGCTGGGTTATGGTGCTTTTCTTTCAAATCTCTAAAATGATGGTAGTTTTATTTTTGTCTTTCACAGGGGCATTGTGAGGGTAAATTCACTAAAAGAATGTGGGAAAGTAATAAGCTATGGTGGTACTGGCTGTATGAGGATCTATGATGGGCAGGGAAGTGATTGGCGGTGACAAAATCAGTATGGCAAAGGCTACCGATGTCATTCACACAACTCTGCCTCTGCACATCATATCTTTCCTAAAGGGACCTCTTCTAGCAGCAAGCCTGGTAGTGTCCATTTCTCTTGGGTCCTGACCCTTCATGCTGAGGTCTCAGGTAACGTACAAGCCTGGATTTTTATTTCCATAGATAAGTCTTTTATTTACAGACATTGAATTATGATAGCATTTGGTTCTGAGCCATCTGGTCTGTATTTTACATAGTGTGTATCTCCTGCTCAAGAGGTCACCAAATGCTTAATGAATACTTTGGTGGGCAAAAAATGAAGTTGTGGCCCTACTGAAGCTGGTCAGAATGCCGCTGCTGATTTCAGGACCCCAGCACTTGTGCCGAGTATTTATTTTTTTCCCAGACCATTAATTATCAGCTGATAAGAACAAAGTTCTAGAAATGGTGACAATGTACTTAATCTCGTATTAAAATAAGTGATTTTCATATAAATTTTCCCATTTGTAGAATTGCTAAATGATTTATAGGGGATGGCATTCAAGTATTTTAAGATGGTATTTCTAATGTGATTAAATAATCAGTGTTTTATCCCTTATGGAAAAGATTAATAAAGTGTCATTTAAATTAACCCTGTAGAGTTCTATAGGAAATTAACTAAAAACCTACGAATAATAATACCTTATCATCTCACATATCAAATCCTTAAAGGCTACCTCAACCCTTATAGAAAAGTCCTGGCTCATTTTCAAGGTTCTTGATTCAATTAAATTGGAGATTTCCATAAGGAATAGTTATCGCCATTACAGCCCCATGAGCTGTGCTCACAACCCAGAACAAAAGTTTAAAATCAAAGAAAATCATCTTGTCAAAATAGTAATGATAAACTTAACAGAAGCCAAACTCCAGTGGCTCTGCTGTGCCTGGCATTCATTATGATATTGTCTGAACTTGGAGAGATATTCCTGTGCTTGTAATTAGCTTTCTTATCACTTAGTCCCTACATAATTAGCACAACAGTGTTGCTATATGGATTCAGTCAGACAAGGAGCTTGTCAGTTAATTTATTCGGTATAAACGAATCTCAGCTAAAATTGTTTTTATTTTCAATTTATAGCACTGTGGCCAACACTGCATTTTTCAGAAGCCCACAGTGTTTCTTCAGAGAAGCCAATGGACCCTAAAGACAATAAAGGCACAAAACAAACGTCGTTGTGCAAACACCTAGCAGCAGATACTCAACCTCAAGTACATTTAGATATCTCAATTGATCATAAATGGCCTAAGTGTCATCCAAGGAAATAGCCTCAGGAAGGAGCAATCAAGGACTAGAGCTGGTTACTAGTTTAAGCTGCAGAAATGAGTTGATTAAAACTAAGAGAAATTTTCCACTTCAGTGACAACTTCCTTCAAAGATTAGTTAATTGGTCGAGTTGTGCCTCCGTCCTGGGACCTCTTGGCACCAACACATCAAGCCTATTGGCAGGTTGAAAATAAAGCTGCTTCTGCAAGTCTTGCCTCCCCTCTTTCTTCCAGTCAAATGCACATTTTGGGACTGGAGAAGACTCTGACAAGGGGTGAGCTTCATTCTCAGTCTGATGTACTGAAATCAGCCTCCCCCACTTGAAAGCTCCTGGACCATGCTTTCGTTGTCAGATGTTGAAAGGCTTTATCGACACCTAAGAAAACGTGCGTTAAAAAATGACCTTGGCAGTTTATGTGACTACTTTTCATTTGATCCTTGTGGATGATAGGTGTGTAAATTGCTTAGGACCTGCTGGGACATCCCACCAGACACCAGCCTGCTCTCTTAGCTACCTCAATATCTAAGAAAATCTGTTCCCACAAGCTCAGCGGATGTTTGCCTGTTGGACTGGCAGAGACTCTAAGCCAAGAGCAATATGTAGAACAGAGCAGCGCTGAGCCATGAAGAAATGCAAAGTACTCCACATACGAGAGCCAACACAGCTGCTGGAACCATAAGGTGCTGTTCAGTTTAAGAACATTGTGTTATGATACCATTTGAATTATTTTTTCTTCTGTCTAAGCACTTGGCTGATGATTGGGAGAGAAAGAAAAAGGATTTAGAAAGGGAAAAATATCAGGAACTATCTAGGTTTTGCCAAAATTTTTTTTGAGCTGGCTTTTTGTGTGTAGAGAAACTGTGGCTGTAAACCTGTCTCTAAATGTTTTTCTCATTGGGTCACTTACGGAAGAGAAATAGATGCCTTGTTAGAAGAAGGGTTGAGTGTTTTATTTAGTGCAAATAGAAAAAAAAAGGTATATATACATATATATATTTATACATGCCTCCTTGGTTAGGCATGATATTGCACCAGATTAGCCTGAGGAAAGCATTTACTGATTAAAAGAGCAAGAATTTTCTAAGTGACATTGTCAATGTTTTCAAGTAAAAGAAAACACCTTCAGAAAGAGAATGATATATAAGCATAAGAATGATTTTTTTTCTTCTATATTAGGTTAGATAAAAACTAAAGCAAAAGAAAAAAGGCTTCAGTATACATTTCCTGAATAATAAATCTGCCGGTGATCTTCTTCTTGATAATTAATGAAATTATTCTACCTAAGACCATTGCTGCTACAAAAACTTAAAATGGAATTTTATACTTCTGGAATTTAAAATAAGTTCTTCTGCTCATAGTTATTTCATCCATAAATCTCAACAGACTAACATTCAAGTTTTTGCTAGTCAAGCTAATTTTTTTTCTCTCAAAAACCTGTGTGATATTATCATCTGTTTTATTTTGCAAACAAATGTATGGCCTAGTTTGTTGATTTTATGGCTTCTGCCCTTTGTTGTTATTTACATCTTGTAATTTCTATTAGAATTCATTGTAACATAAATTCAGGAAAAAATAATCACATTGATTCAATGCTGATATGTAAAAGCCTTACCCAAATCCTCAGTACTCAGCTGCAAAGTAATTTTACAGGAATCTTTGTGTCCAGGACAGGCAATGGGTACAGTGCTCAGAACTGTCAAAACATGCTCTTTGCCATCCTCTGCAATTTGTAGTGATTCTGGTAAAAACTGCAAATAAGAAAACAATTTTTAGATAATTTGGACAGATTAATTAGGCGATAGTGATATTTATGAACTTTTGACTATTTTTAATCAATTATGAAAATATATAATTGCTTGTAATTTAGTAATAATCTTCTTAATAATCCTAATAATAATAATAATAATAATAATAATAATGTTCATTACAATGATCTTCAACTTTATGAGGTGAAATTGTTGTTAAAATACTTTAATGTTCTTGGCAATTAGGAAAATGTTTACAGTTGTCCTATACAGTGTCTAATTGCTTCCCATCTCCTAATCTCAAAACAGGTTTTTATTAAGCCTGAAAATAGCATGATACTATAGAATTTATTGATTTTTAATATTCCTGGTTAAAAGGAGCTCCTATTCCAATGCACTAGGAGAAATACCATGGCCTAAAGTATGGCATTACTTCATGGCCATGGACTCTATGTTTGTACAGTGCCCCAGGAGCAAACTCAGTGCAATTTTTGTCCAATTCCTCTTCCCTGGTATGGCAGTAAGAAGGAATTCTTCATACATAATATATTTCAGCTTGGGTAGCGTGTGCACCAGGGAGACATCTTGTGTTGCGCCATTTCTGTCTGTCTGTTCCCCTGGGGTAAGAGCAGAAGCAGCTCTTGGAGCTAGTCAGAAATGGGAATTTCCATTCCCCGGGAAATTCTGACATTTCCAAAAAACCCGAACTGTTCTTCAGATGTCACATAGAATGGGCTGCCAGATTTTTCAAACACTGTTCATGGAGGCATGAAGCTTAGATAGCAGAAGATCTCAAAATCTGGACTGCCAGACTGACAGTTTAGTTCTTGAGTGGGATTAGACCCACAGGTTTTTGCACTCTGTGTGAATCTATCTTCAGCAATTTGATTTTTATAATACTTGACCATAAGAAGATGACATAAAAATTATTTTTTGTCTTCGTTCTGTTCTGGTTTGGTTACAATGAAATTTTGCATCCTTGTAGGTGTGTCTTCCCATTATACATAACCACCAGAGTACTTTGGGGTGTATTTACTAGAAGATGTAGTTTTGCACAGTCTTTATGGTGCATTAGTGTCAACACCTGCACATGGTGCTGACGGGTGTTTTAAGGTGTTTTACAAACAGACTGGAAGCCATGTAACTTATTAAGACATTTTCTCAAAGTAAACTTAAAAGTAGCACCGGTTATGAAGATCAGGGCTGATGTTTCTGTGTCTTGCTTTTCAGAGCATGTCAGGTAACGTATAAATATTCCCTAGGGATGTGCCAAGTCCGTAAATCAAGGCCATTGGCATTACCTTAATCCCGACATAGAAACCTTTGCTGTCTTCGGGCAGCGACTGCTGCTCAGGAGTGTCCCTCGTAAAAGCGGTGACTGTGCAAAAGACCTGTAATAAATAAACAGCATATGCTATAGCTTTTCTGGAAGAAAATTCATCTAATTATCTTCCTGTTGATCAGAGTCGTTAAGCTTCTTTTTTCTACTGTTGAAACATATTTGGAGGGTGTTGGCTTTAAAAATGTTTGTTAATAAATCTTGAGATTTGGAAGACTTTTATGAGTTTACTGAGCAAATAAACATGGCTTCTGTCTCAACAGTTAATAACACTGAATGTGTTTTCTTCTGCAGTTTTTCAAGCACCTTGGTTAGTGATACTAACTCAATTAGGCAGAATTACATTGTTCATAGGCATTATTGTCAGGATTAAGATATTAGACCTTGGTATCCTAGACTTCAGTGTGTCCACTGGATCAAATATCCTCTCTCTGTATCATGTTTGTAAGCAGTTTTGTTTGTTTGTTTGGGTTTTTTAGATGTAAATTCATTTGACAGTCATCTGGTCTCAGAAACTGTGTCAGTAATATAAGCAGCTCCATTATTTTTTTCTTATTGCATTATGAAAGATGATACAGATGTGCCTACAGGGTTTACATTGTAAAAAAAAATAATAAAAAAAAATCCCCTATACAAAAAACTCCACCAAATACAATATACCAGGCCATGTATGTTTTATTCCTAGCACAGTCACGCAACCTTTATCTCTGCTGAGCCCGCATGCCATCTGCTATCTTAATGTTCATTGGTTTCAGAAAACCCAAACTGCTAACATAATTTCTAGGATCATAAGATTGAACTACAGAAATTTTCCTTAAAGCAAATGACAATAGGCTCTGAAACTGTAGTTCTGAATTATTTTTTTTTTTGCCTCTTCTCGGAAATAGAGTAACAGATTGTGACACACTGAATCAATACCAAATAGTCAGATGGCATATTTATAGCGACTGCCTTTTTAAAGCCTCGAGTAACCCATGAGGGGGAATTGGACCAATCTAATTTATTTTCCATTGCAATAAACTCCTTTGGATGGATTTTCCAGGACCACCTACCAGCCGTGCTGCTCTTGCTAGCTCTCACCTGCCGGCTCAGGCATGACCCTCATGACCAGTAGCAGCAAAACAGGCTCAAAACCAGAATATTCCCATATTCATATGGTCAGGTGGGCATGAGTTGTATACCACTCTGGAACATTTCTTTTACCACCCTAAAAATCCCTCTTCATTACCATCAAGTCATGATTTTTTTTCCAAACTGAAGAATCCTCTTTCCTAACTCATTTGGGCACAATGAAAATGCCCCACTGGAGATACAGAGTTGTTTGTGCACCTACGGGGAAAATCAAAGTGTTTTCGGTGCTCTTCAGGTGGATTATTTCCAGTCCAGGTCAGTCCCAGGCTTACATGTTTTTTAGGCCATTTTCACCTTCATAAAGTTTCTCACTCTTGCTGACAGCTCCAGCCAGTTTGGCCCAGTGAAAATGATCTTAGATCTTTGATCTGACTAGTTGGAAGCTTTGTCTTGTACTGGGTGTACTGGGGAAAAAAAAAGACATGGGTCTCACAGAGATACTTTACAGTTAAAATTCCTCAGATACTTCGTAGTTAGCCAGTTTGGCTCCAAAGGAGAACAAGTTGCTGTCTCCTCAAGATAATAAGCCGCTGTTATCATTAGATATTTATTATCTCTGAGCATTCCCTAAAGGCTAGTGTTCAGCTTACAGAGTTTTCGGAACAGGTCTTCTGCTGGGAAGGCAGAAGGCGAGCGTTGATCTTCTTCCTGCTGCTTCTCCTACAGCTGCCTCAGGGATAGTCTGCAAAATCAGGATCTGACAAGGCGGTGACAACAGAGAAAGAGTTCAGATAATGTATATTCCCCCTATTAAAAAAATAAAAAAAAAAGATCCCCTTGCAGAGCTCATTGAGCACATCGAATGCACCTGCATTGCAGATACCATATTTATACTTGCTGGGCTGTTGGCACATTTGGCTTCAATGCTTTTTGCCAAAAATATTCACACAGAGATTTCCCTCTGAGCATGCCACGCGGAAGGGTCCTGCCAAGGAGGGAGCTGTAATGAGAGGCAGCAGCAAGGTCATGCACGAGAATGGCCATCTCCGACGGAGGCATCTCCTGGTGATCTTCCCCAGACATCCTGGGAAATGTCAGAACCCAGCCTCGTTCCCTGCGAGCGTTGTATTTTCCCACATATATATATTTTAGAGGTGGATTTTATTGATAAAACACTAAACACTAAAATGAAAAACTACTCTCTAATGATACATTGAGATATTCTTAGACTATCAGTCCATTCCAGTTCTATCTTCAGCACTTATAGAGATTAGCACAAACTTCACAAAATTCGAAATGTACGGACAGCCATCAAGAGTTACATTTTATTTCTGTCTTGTATATCATTCCTCCCCTAGTAGTGCCTTAACCTTGTTAGGTGCACGCTTCACAATCAGCAGATATGTTCATCGGCTACTGAGCTGCAGGTTGACAGTTTGTCACATAATTATTACGATAGTTGCTCTGAGGAGGTTCTTTTTTGCCTTCAGCTAAACACTAGCTCTTTTTCTCCAGTTCAGTAATCAACTTTTCCTTTCTATTTTTCCCCCCATCCCCATCTCAGGATGCAGCCTTTTTAAAACAAAGAGATAAAAGCATCACTGACAGCAGTGTGCTGATGGCCATGACAGGTTAGGCAGTATATTTCCACAAACTCATCAGATCTGTTAAAAAAATCAAATTATACTTTTTTCTGTCTCTTTTAAAGGGACAGAAATGTAAGGGTGCCCTCAGACATCATGACTGGATTGCTTCTGGGTGCGGACTGCTCTCTTTCCCCCATGTGCTGGCAGATCTTCCCATAGGGCAGAAAACTACTTTTGGGCATAAAACTCAGATTGAAAAAGGCCCTGGTAGCTCAGAAATTTCTCCTTTCCTGTGTGTTGGAGCAGATTTCCACCTTTATGCGGATTCAGTCGGACTCCTTCCCACTTTGCCATGAACCCGTGAGCAACATATTTAGCTGAAAGCAGAATTCAGTCATTAGTTTGGTGGTGGTCAGGTAGCTCTGGGAAAAAATTTTCAAGAGTATTTTCATCCTAGGACCTGTCACCATCTCCGGCAAATTTCCCTCTAATAACTTGCACATCAAAATGTTTTTTTCTTCATAGTTCTCAGGATCCTAAACTCCGCCAAGTCAGTTGTTTGTACTCATTTTGAACATAAAAATCCCTCCAGTTTCACACTTTTCTCTGTCCCTGGTTACTTCTGAATGTAGCATGGGGATCATCTGCAGCAGTGAGAGGCAGAGGGCTGAGGGCAGAGACAGAAAAGCTCAAAAAAAGTCACAGCCACATTCTTTGCCATCTTCAAAGGTGGCGTGCGCAGAGGCAGGAGCACAGAAGGGGATGCTCGTAGGCACATCCAGAGCAGCCATGCCTCCAGTTTCATCAGCCTTTCCTGGCCATGCTCAGATAAAGGGTTGGGTTCCCGAAGGCAAAACAGGAGGTACTCGTCCTGTGATCAAACCCCATCCCTGCTTATCGGTCAGGTACATGTGAAGGCTCCTGGATTTGCCAGGCAATTTTTAGAGCTCTCAGAAAGGCCAGCTTCAGCTGTATGCTTCCCAGGGCACTGGCAGCAGAAATGGTGCCACCACCTCTCTCAACAGCATCCCAGCGGCAACAGCACAAAATAGGGAGAGCTGGCAGATGGAAGTACTGGGTTTGGGTCTGTCCATCAGGACTGCTCATGTGTTTTACCTAAATAGCGGCCAGAGAAAATAAACAAATGCATTTTTGCAGGCCCTGCTTCCTCTCCTAGTACAGCCTATGCCCTGGGGGTGGGATGCTGCCTTTGGAAGGGCAGGACATTCATCCAGGTCAGAGCTGGGAGGACCAGCTACCCATTTCCCATCTCTCTGGCAAGGACTGGAGCTGTATTGTAATGCTAGAGATCCCACGGTGGCGACAATGATGGTTTAAAGTTTAAATGTTTATTTTTACTGGTAGTGATCTTCCGAAGACTACATACAGCCAGAGTAGGAGTTGACAGTCCGGATTAAAAAGTAGATGGAGGCACTTTCCTGACCCAGACATGCAATCTGCTGAGAGGTGTGGGAAATCAGGAATGCTGATGTTAGTAGTTTATGTTGGCCACCTGTGGGAAGTTCCTATATGAGGTACCATTTAGGGATACCTGCTTATTCCCGTTCGTTGGGCAGGGAAGTCTGCATGCTGCTTGTAGGGTGCAGGTATCTAAGCTGTAGGTGATTAATAACTCCAGGATTGGATTTACCCATGTAACAACACTGCCCATGTCAAAAGGCAGACTGGGGCTGCGAGGGTAAGAGTCATTCAGCCACAGTCATTGCTTTCAGGTGAAGGTTTGGGCAGGGAATTGATCATGCCAGGTGAAAGGGTATCTCACGATGGCTATCAAGGCCTCTGAGCTGCTGTTGTCTGCTCTATTAAACGCTAATGGGCTGGGGTTAGAAAAGTCCCGAGGAGTTGCTTTGCTGGGAGCTGGGGAGTGTGAGCTGTGGTTTACAGCCTTGATGAAAAGAGCAAAGGATGAGCAGAGCTGAAAGATGGCATTTCTAGGGAAGCTGGAGGAAAAAAAAATACTTCTCATTAGCTCGAAGAAATGATTTGTCTGTAGGTATTTGCAGAAAGAGATAGGACCAAAGTCTCTGGAAAGGCTTTGGGGTTAGCAGGAAGGGGAAAACAGGGAGAAGCTGACTTTGAGTTAATTAATAAACTAGACCTCAAAGCTTTTGAACACATGTTGCTCCCTGTGTGATGGGCTGTTGGCTGCACAAGGGTGCAGCAATGTGACCTAACACTGTGGGAAGTCCATCTCTAGTCACTTTGCTACTTGCTAGATATAAAGAAGGTAGCTCTTTCCAGTGGCCAAATGCCCACACAGCGTGTGGAGGCTGACTGTAGGTCATTCATCTACTAAAGAAAGAAATTTTCCCAGGGTAGTAGCAAGGTGCCTTAGCTGCATGGTTTTGCTCATCATCTCTCTGACCCTTTCTGCTTTAAAAATCTCTGTTCAAGTCCACCCAGAGCTCTGTTTCTGGGGGAACGCTCCTCATTTTCTATGTGAAGGTTGAGAAAGGAATTGTAAACTCAGGAGTGACCTACAAATAGGCAAGTGTTCCTACTTCTCTTGTTGATTTTGTCACGTCCAGTGGTTGGGATGGGATTAGTATTTAAACAGAAGGAAATTTAGCTCCTCTTCCCTTGTGAGTGAAAATTAGTTATTTTAGATATTGAAGCACTAATTTATAGTCCTTTTGGCTGGGGCATATTTTTCTGCTGTCGCAGAGTGTCATGCAAAGCAGCCACTTTTAGCACACAGCTCAGAAAGGCCAGTTTTATTTAAACATTTTTATTTTACAATGCACATCATAGTTTATGTATGGCGACAATTATTCCTTACCATATGAACTTTTGGATTGCTGTACTGTGCAAAATCTCCATGGTTTCTTTCTAAACACCTTTCTTAGCATAACTCATTACACAGAGTGTGCCGCTATAATTTATAGATGGCTGTGCCTCGAGGAATGAAATGACCTCTGTCACTATTGCATAAATAAGGCTTAAGAATGACAGGATTTTCGTATCAGATGGACTAGGCTTCTTTCAGTGTTTATATAGAAACAGCGTCATGTTATAGATTTATTTAAGGTTGCAATAGTTCTGCGAACATTATCCTGCCAACATTACTGTCTGAAATAACAAAATTGAAGCCCAAAGATGGGGGAGAAAAGCACACATGATGGCTATTAAAAAATAACTGTCTGTTTAGTCAATACAAGTTCAGAAACGTTGGCCAGTAAATCTCAACTCTTCTCTAAGGTTTGACTGTGTATTAAAATATATCAATAGATATTCTATTATGTGGCTAACCTATTACCTGGAGACTTTTTGACAGATAAAAAATAGCATAGATATCAATTGCCTAAAAGATGGTTAAAAAAAAATAATCTTCTGGCTTGGCTGTAGTTTTTTTATCAAGAAATGAACAGAGAAAATGCTGATTTCAGGCTATAAAAGCACTGAGACCAAATACAGGCTGTGTGCAGGTAGACAAAGAGTAAGTTAAAAAAAGCAAGCGGTTCTCAAAGCCCTACAAATTCTGCATCCTGGGGAGACAAATTCTGCTCTGAATGCCACCCATGCACCCTGACAGTGTGCAGCCGTGGGGATGCTACCGCTGGGATGTGCACAAAGAGAACTAGAAAGTGTCCCCGATTCGTTGTCTCCTCTCCAATATGGCTTTTATCAGTGGGGATCTGGCCTCCCTTTAAAGCTGACTGAGAAAAAAGCCTTCCACCTGGATCTTTCATGGGCGGGTGGATGTTACAAACTGTCTCTGTGCAGTGGAGTTTGGTCCCTGGGGTTTGACTCTCCCTTTAGTGGCATCACCTTTCCTTTGCGGTAGCCCTACCAATGCTTACTAAGTTGCTTCAGATTTACACCAGTGGAGGTGAGAGTCTGCCCCTTTGTGACTCTTTAGACACCTAGAGTGTGATGGCAAACACAGTGAAATGCTTTTTTTAATCTTTATTATATAAAACTGAATTCTCAGTTACAGCTGAGGCTTCATTGCCTGGTTTTCAGCAGTAATGATTTATGGATAATTATAATTAGTCAAATAGGCCATGAAGACCTTTAAAAAAAATCTAGCAAGGAAGAGAACATTTTAGTCTTGCTAAACCCACTAAATTATACATGTAGTTTCAGCAGAGGACAAAGAAGGGCTTAGTGAAAACTTAATATAATAAAAATGGTCTTATAAAGATTTGGTGATGGTACTAGTTAACAGAACTATATTTTCCCTGAATCCCTCAGGATTGTTAAATCTAGATTTGAAGTGATTGCAAGTGAAATTATTTTGATGAAAATATCTCTTCCTAATGCACACTTGTCTTAAACCGGCAGAACTGTCTGCCTCATGTTAAAATGTAAGTGAGGGCAGCATCAGTCAGATTCTGAACTCAGGAGGCATAATAACAAGGATAAATGAGAAAAAACTATCTAGATTGTGCTACTGTTATAAATGACTCATCCTTTCAAGAACTGGTAAAAGCTTATTCACATTTCTGAAATATCTTAAATATCTCAGAGCTGCAAAATGTCAAGACTATTTCCAACCTACTTTTAACACAAGGCCATTATCCCTGTTTATTCTTTCAGTTCGTTGTAGCGTTGCTAACGGCTCTCTGCCTATAAAAGTTATGAACCTAAAGTTAAAAGTCTTGTTTCTGTACTATGAAAGGCCATGAATTCATAGAGAAGTCAATTTTTTTCACATCTTGTATTAGTTTCTGTGGTGTTGTTGTTGTTGTTGTTGAAACTAGATCTGTGTTGCTATGTAAGCCATCAAATACACTTCTTAAAGATTGTTTTGTAATGAAGTCTATCTTTCAGTGTGCTATTGAACCAAGAATTTGGAATCAGAGAGGCAGAATACCATGAAAAAGACCATAAAATAAATCTCCCTCTATTTTAAAATATGTATCATCCTACTGTTCTGTGAAAAGATGCTATTGTGTCTCTGATCTGTGAGTACAAAAATTACTGAGTGCACATAGCTGAGCCTGCCTCTTCTGCAAATTCACACTGCTGCAAGATATGAAAAATACTAAGGAAAAATTGGCTCAGGCACATGTACCTACTGCTCATACCAACTTCACGGCGTTCAAGCTGTAATGTAAGTGCAAATATTCAAGTTGCCTTTAGAAAATAACAAAATGGATAGCTTATGTGAGCTCACTGCGATTCAAAGAAACGCTACAGGTCCTGAATGTGGTAAATGCTGTTTAATAATCTTGTGGTGAAACAGTTTCCGTATTTTTTCTCCAGTAGTTGTACGTATAATGAGTGAGGAGCAGCACTAATAAACACAACAAAGATTTAAGAAAAGGATTTGATCCCCCTGAGTGTTTGACCTTTTTTTTTGCTGAAAGCGGGGTGGCATTACCGTGTCTCCCAATTTGAGATTTACTCCGTTCACCTCTACATAGGAAAAGGACTGCAGGGTGGTGTCACGCTGAATCTGCTCTTTCTTGCCAGGGCTGGACAGGCGTGACCAGACCACCACGTACCGCAGCAGCGGCTTCGAGGAGGGGCGGCTGTAAGTGCACTTCAGGTGGACACGACCTTGCACAAGCTCGGGAGTTATCACTGGTTGCAAAGCCAGGCTTGTGAGTTTCTCTGGAAGAAGGAAACAAAAGAAGGGCATAGCACAAAATGTTATTTTAATATTGCAATTGTTCACTCAACAAGAGGATATCAATATAAACTAAACATGGGAGAAATGCTACATTTTATGTTCTCATGATTGGATTATTAACTATGCAAGCACGAAAATGTATTTCATACAAAATGCAAAAGTTTCTAATTGCATACTGACTACCCATTGTTGTTATAATATTTGACCTGGTTTTTGATATTTCTTTGGGTTTTTATTTTCCAGTAAGAGAAAGTTTATTGAAATGAAGCACGCGGATTAATACAAATTAATTACTCTGGCAAAGGCCATCAGCTGTGCTTTCCCCTGAAGCCCAGCCTTTTGATCCAAGTTTTGCCATAAGTACAGAAGAGATATGAGAAATCGTTATGTTGCAGAGGTAAACTGACTCTCAGAGAGCACCCAGCCCCTATTGTCGTGCTCTGTAGGTCCTTTCCAGGCTATTCTGGGATTCACCTAGGCTGAGTCTGCTTGATATATTCTCCCTCTGCCCAGAGTAATGCCATTGCTCTAAAAATACAGCCTGCTTTCTATAAGCTTCAGCAAGTAGTGAAGTCTGAAACTTTTCTTCATTAACCTCGCCTGGAAAGTAGAAACAAGAATACTGTAGGGTGATGTTCTTTCGTCTCTAGAGACCTGGGCTCAAATCGAACATGAAGCTGGTTCAGATGCTTTGAAAGGATAAATTAAGTAACATCTTGGCAGAGTGTAGAAAATATTATGGAAGCCCAAGAGAATAAGGTATGAGGCTGTTACAGCAGAATGAAGAACCAATATGTTAACATCTGTCCAGGGCAAACTACAAGAGGTAAGAAAAAGAAACAAGTTACAAAAGAATAAAAGAATAAGGGCCGGCTGTTTGTATCCTTCTCTCTTTTGTTTTTAAGGGAAGCTGCCTCAAACTGTGGCTCACATCATGACTTTCTGCACGAAATTATGCCAGAAGGACAATCAGTTCATGGGAGGGTGTGAGCAAAATTGCAAGCACGTATGCTGCTTTTCCCAGCCGTGTCCTTTCTGTCAGGCTATGAAGCTTTAAATTCATTGTGTTTTGCAGCTCAAAGTGCTGACGGGTGTCCTGCTCCCAAGCCTCCAGAGGATGGGGCTGGGGGATTGACCCTGGTAAGAAGCTGTGATGATGCCAGTTGGACCCAGCTCTGGGGTTGTGCAGAGGCTCCTGTGGTGCAATGTTCACAGCTGAATTTAAGATGGAGAGTTAACAACCCCCAGTAAAAAACTTCAGCTTTAAGTGTTTTCCATCCAACACATCATACTGCAAAAACATCCTAAAGACAAGAAGTTAAAGACTAGGGAGAGCTGGACCTCACTGAAATGCCTAGGAAAAAGGTGAAAGCTTCAACAGCAGTGGTAGGGAAAAGGCAGAAAGTCGTTGGCTCAGGGTAGATGGGAAGGGATAAACTTTCTTTTATGAAAAATGCAGGCAGATTTACATTACTAAACATGTATGGATCAACAGAAAGAACAAGACTAATCACCCAAAAGGTATTGGTAAAAAATTCTTCAAACAAAGGTAGTGGAAATCTTATAGTTTAAAACAAGCCAAGCTTAAACTGGAAAATGACTGTATTTGCTTAAAAAGTCAT